GTTGTTGGGCATCCTCATTTTCTTGAATAAATGCACCCGTAGTCTTGACAATACGTCGATATTGCTTCTTGGGATAGTTTCCAACTTTGTGGCTTTCTTCACCACAATACAAGCATAGACCTTCCTCCATATGCCGCTTTTTTTCTTCTAGAGTAAGGGATTTGATATATACCACATCAATTTGCATGTCTTCTACCTCTGAATGTGAATTCATGCTGCTTGTCGACATAATTGGGACTTGACTAACCATATGTTGTCTTGCACCTTGGTCTTGGTGACATTAGAATAGGCGATTATCACACTTCACAGCTTGATTAATAGCTTCGTTGAGCGTTTGTGGATCAAGAAGAGTTAACAGCAAATCCTTCACATCATCCCTTAAATCCCAATAGAATGGACTCATCAACGCTTCTTCGTCCCAATTGATGTCGCATGCTAATTGCTTGAAGTCCGATGCATAGACTGATGTAGAGCGCATCCCTTGTCGTAGTGACCGGATCTTTGTTGTAGCCCATCGAACCTTTTCATTTTCACCAAATGCTTCGGCAAACGCCTCCAAAAAGGTTTCAAAGTTGTTTAGTATGGGTGATCGTTTCTCAAACAAAGGAGCAAACCATGATAGAGCTTATCTTGTAAGTAAGGTTCCAACAAGCCCAACATGTGACTCCTCTGTTGGATAGCATTCAGGCTGTTAAACTGTTATCAACCTGATTTGATTGATGAAGCCTCGAAACTTGGAACGCGTACCATCGAACTTGTCCGGATGGGTAACTCGGGGCTCCTTATGTTGTAGAATGAGCGGTGCTTGTCGAACTTGAGGCAAAGTTGCTTCTCCAAGTGCAGAAGTTTGAGGCTGGTGCAACCTAGATTGTGTCATCCCAAATGCTCCATCATTATGAAGCCTTGCCACGACTCCTTCAATCTGTGTAGTTCTTTGCGATAACGTAGCGAGGGCATTCATGATAGCATCTAACTTGGACTCTGAACTTTTCGTCATACTAATGTCTTGACCCCCGGCCATTCTAAGAGAAGGACAAAAATGACTCTACAAGAAGACAATATTGGTTTAGAGGAGGGTACTCCGCAACCTCTAAAATGCCTTAAGAGCTTCAAGAAAAGGGGTAATCCACTCTTTTCAAGAACAATAAGACTCCAATATTGTAACAAAAGAAATATCAATTTAGAGGAGGGTAATCCGTAACCTCTAAAATGCTAGTACACTTCCAAGCAGAGGGGTAATCCACACTCTAACAAAGAAGAAACTAGCTCTGATATCTGAGGTGAGTGAAGTCTCGACAAACTGTCACGGATATAGAAATACAGGCTCAAGATCTAACAAGAAGTTCAAGAAGAACTGACAAGAACTAGATTAATCAGATGAATACAAGAACAACACCAAAGAGGTGAGCTAGAGCTCCAAGAGATGTGTTGTCGAGACTAAAGAACTCTTCAGCCTCAATTCCAATATATACTCTTATTTAGGAAGCTTCTCAAGCAACTTCTACCAACTAGGAAGCTTCTAGAAGGTTCCAGAGACTTGTCTCTAGAAGGTTCTAGAAACTTGTCTCTAGAAGGTTCTAAGGACTATGTCCCTAACACTTGGACTACTTCTATCCAATGAACTAGTGAATCGTAGACCTTGATTTATCTCCTTCATTTTTCCTTGGATTTGAATCTACTAATCTCGATTATTGAAATTGAACGAAGCATTACATTATTGATAAGTATATCCTGACTGCTTACAATTCGCACACATTGGTGCATAAATGCCACTGGCTTTGGAATTGGGACATTCACTGGCATAATGACCAATCTGTCTGCAACAAAAACAACGAAAAGGTCTTCTTGCACCTCCATCCGGCATATTGGGTGTTTCCATCGATATATACCTACTAGGCTTATTCCATGTAGGGTTAGAAAATGATCCTGGTTGTCCCGTTGGTATGGAGGGTATTTGGTTCGATGTCGTCGATGGAACATATTGCTGTTACCTCTGCTGCTCTTTTCCATAGTTCTCGAGGTTTGATGCAAATCCTTGATTAAAATTAGAACTTTGAAAGTTAATGAATGTTTGATTTTATCAATTAGATTGATTTCCATTCCATCCATACGTGTTTTTCGTTTGAACTTGATTGACTTCTCACTAAGTCGGTGGGATCATGGTCTGATTACTGAATTGTTGTTGCCTTTGTAAATACCAACAGTTTTGGGTAGGGTGCTTTCCTCCGCAAAATATACATTGAACACTGGTTTGTCTAGGTGATGGACATTCCGTATCAAAATGACCTTGTCCCTTACAATTATTACACTATACATTAGGTCTTGTATTAGAAGGTTTATGTCATTTCTCCTTATCTTTAGTCAAATTCACAGCCAATTCTTCCATCTTCTTTGTTAGATTTAATAACAGAGCTTCATTTGGATCTTTAACAGTCGCATTTGTGAACAACTCTGGTTGTTGATAGGTTGGCGATGTAAAATAAGATGTCATTGTTATTGGCGCTATTGCTTGGAGTGGTATAGCATTAATTGGTTGTTGTAATATAACATTCTTCATGTTGGAATCAGCCATTTGTGGATAATTATCCATTGACACATTTCTTGATTGTATTTGTTGGCTTCTTGAACTTATAATCATCGTGGCCTCCACTATTAATAATTGGTCATAATGACATTATTTCCACACCTTTGCTCGTGCCAACGATACCTCTACCGTAGCTAGTCGAGCCTCTTTTATAAACATTTTTAATTCTAATAGATGCAAATCATTAATTAATATCGACAATATAAATGCATTTGGCATTTGATTATTTGACCATTTACGAAGTATATCCGCGATCTGGATTTAAGGTTTAAGGTTTAGGATTTTTAAGGTTTAGAATTTAGGATTTTTAGGATTTAGGATTTAAGATTACAAGAGTGTCTCCGATTTTTAGGCATCATTATTTTTGGATTTTGACTTGACCTATCCTCCCCCCCTGCCTCCCCTATTTATGATGTCTAGGAATTCAATGGTATAATTCTTTTCCTATACAAGTTTACAGTTTGGAAGATTTAGCTACTTTGACTTGGACTTTAGGGTTTTGACTTTTGTCATACAAGGCTTTTTGAAATTTTTGAAAAGTCCATTGGATTTGTTTGAGGGTTGTCAATTCTAAATATGTGCTTGAAGTTTTCAAAAAGTGCATATATTTGTAATTATTAAGTGTTTGACCATTTTGACTTTTGAGTTGATTTTACATATAAATAGGAATTTTGAAGTTTTAATTTGACATACCCCCCTATTTTAAGGATCTAGGAATCTAGTGATGGTCTTAAAATCCTATACATGTTTTTTAATTTTGAGATATAAGGCGTTTGACTTGATACAAATTTCTGTTGACTTTTTGTGTACTTTGTTGTTTTGAATTTTTGATTTGACCTACCCCCCTATTTGTCATGCTTCTAATTCCAATGGTATGTTTAAAATTTTCAGAAAATTTATAGTTTAGGAGATATGAGATTTTCAAAATAGCAAAATTTGCCTTTTATTAGTATATGAAAAAAATATTATGAAAATATGAAATAAATACATAGAAACTTTTGGACATTATAATAGTATATTGGATAATTTATTTAGGTAAATGTCTTATTTTTTTTTGGAAAATATCATATTTATACTACTTTTTATTTATAATATATGTACATATGATTTAACTTTATATTATATGTGTTCTAAGCCTATGCAATGGATTGAACATGGTTCCACCAATTTGCACCATATTCTTGAATGAAGTGGCGAGCTCCTCCAATACGATCTTCATATACTCCATTCTTTTTCCAATATGCACCACTATTGGTCTTCTTTAACATCAAGCCATCTACACATCTATCTACGATCCTACTATGAACAAACCAATGTCATTATGAAGAAATTCAAAGATGAGAAGAAAAATACTAGAATTTAGGATTTAGGATTTAGAGGTATAGGATTTAGGGTTCATTATGAAGAAATTCAAAGGTGAGAGGAAAAATACTAGAATTTAGGATTTAGGATTTAGAGGTATAGGATTTAGGGTTTAGGGTTATAAGGATGTCTCCGGTTTAAGGTTTAAGGTTTAGGATTATAAGAGTGTCCTAGAGGTTTTTGATCCTATATCTCTCTCAATGTATCACAGTTTTTTCCATTTTGAAATTTTGCTAAGCCTTACATTGTCCCAAAGACTCTATAAATGTTTTTGTTTCTCAAAAATATATGTTTCATTTTTCATAATTTAGGGTTTAGAAACCCTAATTAAGGTCTGAAGAGCCTAATTCGGGATTCGACTTTCATATTTATTATCATTTGAGAATTGTGTATAGAATTGAAATGCTTACCGGATTCTTCTTGGTCAAAACAAACACCGACTGATGGGTCGTTCATGTGGTCCAGGTTCGGCTTGGCCTTCGATTTGCCCACTCTCCACCTGCTGCACCATCCGCTCCCCATCCTCGTTTTCCTCCACCTCCCATCGCTCTTTCTGATCCCACCATCCGAACACCTTCATCGACGTCCTAGGCACGCTCTATGAGCACCGATGCAACAGCAATGGTGCCATCGTGTACTGTTATTGCAGCCAAGGTTTAGGGCAAGCAAGCAATTAAGCTATCACCACAAGGGCTACATTGTTAGCCTGTGACTTATATTTTGAACAGACATACAATTTGAACAGACATAATAGATTATAATCCTTGAGAGGGTCAAGATTGTGAATACAGTTACCAGAAAGAAGGAACGAGGTTTTTCGTTCCTAGTATTTATGGAATTAGAGTCGAAGTTCACACAATGATAAGGCAATTTGGAAATTGAGATGCATTAAAATAGAAAGTAAGGTTACCTTCAACAAACTTGTGACCTCCTACATCAACCTTTGCTGATGAGCTGAAACAACACCAACCTAAAAACTAAATAATGTAAATATCATGAATGCAATCCTCAGCGCAATGCAAACAGAATCACCCGTGTCACTCTAGTTCCACTATGGGTAGAAAATAGCACCTTGTTATTAAAGTTGAACAAATATTAGCAGGCATGAGGTCACCTGCTAAAAGGACGGAATGTTACCTCCCGATCAGATTTTGGGTAAAGCTCCTTAGTATTTTGGCAATCCTAACTGTGTTAGAACAAATGACTATCAAACCGGCATCTACTTCAATACATGGCTTGTAATTTCAGGTTTTGAAATTCCAGAGTATCAATTGTTTAAGACTCCACCAGGATCCACCCCTAAAATTCTACATCTACTTGTGTGCTGAGCTCAAAGTTGGTGCGCTTCTTCAAGCTCTTGCATAGCTCGGTCTTTGTTGTGGAATTCTGAAAGTAGATTCTCATACTCTCCTTTTTTGACCTCCCAGGATGACAAGAGCTTGTCCTGAATCCCACAAACCCGGAAACAATTCTGGCAGGCAATGCACTGATGAAGTTGTGTACATTGGCCGCCATCGCCGCAGCGTGAACCTCCTGCTCGGTGATCATCTTGCATCCGTATAGGATGTTCTCCTATATTGTTGTTGCAAACAACATTGGTTTCTGGAAGACGAGAGCGATTCGCCTACGTAAGCTTTTGAAGTTGATCTTCCGTAAGAGCCGCAGAGGCAGAGCTGGGAGACACCATAGCCAATGCATGCGACTTGCCCACGAATAAGAAACCCCTCTTCATTGGCAGACTCTTTTAAAAAAATCTTGCTGACTATTGTACAGGACGATTTTATTCAATTTCTCCCCTCTTGTCAGTCAATCCTCGCCCAGATCTCGGCGCTACAGCATCTTTCAAAGTCTCAAATCAATCCTCGCCTAGATCTCGGCGCTACAACATCTCCTAAAGTCCCAAGTCAATCCTCGCCCAAATCTCGGCGCTACAACATCTCCTAAAGTCTTATTAAGAACATTTGATCCATGTGGCAGCGAATGCTTGGAGTGGGAAGATGGCGAGCACCACAAGTAGCCATCTGCCATTGCAAGCTGAAGGCTAGGAAGTAAGTTGCCATACCGGCAAGGAAAAAGTTTTGGACCAGCATGGCCAAGTTCTCGTCCTTGATCGGCTCCACAAGACAAACTCGCAATTGACACGGTTCTTCACATGCAGGTGTTAGGCTCCCTGCTGAGTTCTGGCTGACGTTCAAATGTTGGAGATTCAGGTCACCTTGGTCTTGCTCGATCACGGAACCTGACTTCGGATCCACAATGAAGGATTTCCTCGAGCAATGTCCAACCTTGGACAAATTCTTGCAGCTTTCAGAGCTTTTTTCCTTCGTTTTTCTACTTTGACTGCACCGCGTAATGTCTGCAACAGCGACAGTGGCGGAGGGTTCGATGTGGAAAACAAGCAACGTGAAAATTGTCGATAGTCAGAGACTTCGAGTTCATGCCTGGAAGCCGCAGCATAAATTAGTGCACACGCAACAACCTCACTTTTGAAACGCACGCAGAGTGTGTTCCGTAAGCTGCAATAAAAAAAATAATTTGCATCAACTCTTTTTTGACCAACGCAAGATATGAAGCAAGATATGAAGCGGGCCGAACAGTATGAAGGAGGTCGACAACCAACTACAAGAAAGACAGACTTCCAAAGTGTGAAAAAGAGGTACGCAATTATGAAAAACAGTCGCTGCCCATGTAGCCTCTCAATCCATGGCCACTAAAGCCAAGAGATCTCTCGAATTTTATTCTGGAGTTCACTCTATGCTGAAAAATAGCACGTCGATTATCCATGACGCAAACTGCAAAATGAACCAGTTGCATCGTTGAGGGGTGTAGCACGGGAAATAAACTTGGTCACAAGCAAGAGGCTTCGTCGTGAAGAACTGCACACCAATACCAAGCGCACAGTTCGTGAGTAAGCTTACCCAAACCATTATTAGCAATAATGCTTCATGCCCTCTAACACATGCCTCCACTACTTCCTGGCATCAACCACACCAACTTCCTCCACAATGCATGCACCACAATTTCAAAACCGCAGCACTTTCTCACCTCGCTGGCTAAAGCTCGAGTAGCGCTTCCACAATCCGCAGGTTCGATGGCCAAAAGAGTGTCCAGCAAAGTAAGAGAAGATACTGGAAATTCTTTAAACACCTCATTAGGACATCGCTTATATGGTTGTTGATGCTTGAATATCGTCGCATGCGGCAATTTTGACTTGAAACTCCTCGGATGGAGAATCCCACAATTTAAAAATCTTGTGCAATTGTTCCACCTACATCACATGCAACCCTGAACCCAAAATAGGGAAGGGAGCAGCGCACACAAAGGGGGACTGGAGCGCGGACATGGAGGAGACCAGCACAGACAAAGATGTTACGAGCGTTGATTGAGAGCACTGCAAGAAAAGGGAGACGCGTGAAACAAAGGAGCAGCGCCAGCAAGCGAAGAAGAAGAGACGCGCGGGACAGAGGAAAAGAAAAACGATTAGAGGCAGGACCAGCAATCGTAGAGGAAGAGAAGCCGGCCGTAGAGAAGGAAAAAAATGGTTGCGAGTGTGACCCCTGATTGCGGCTTGCCATTTCTAATGGCAACCAGGTTTCGAACCGGCCACATTAGATGAGCAACCTGGTCGAATTGGCGTGGAATAAAGCCATGCCGCACCTCTTCCCTCTTCAGACCACAGCAGTCATTCATCGCACGGGGCCCATGCGTGCACCACGATCTAGGATAAACGCCCTACAACGGCCCTTTCAATCCGACTCTCCATCCATGGTGCGTGGAATAGCACCATGCCGCACCTCTCTCCTCCTTACACTACTGCAATCACTCCTCTTGTTGGGCGCATGCATGCACTGCAATCCACGACAAACGCCCTCCTGCGCTCGTTCCCTTCCGCCTCTCCGCCCATGATTTGTTGGGTCTCTTTCTCCTCCCCTAAACCCTAAACCCTAAACCTGGCTCGTCAGACGCAGTGTAGTCGTCTTTACAACCAGGGCATTTCCCAGACCCGTTGAGGGCATCGATGTAGCAGTCGCGGCAGATCTTGAAGTTGCAATCACAAGGTGTCATGTCTTCTCCGCGCTCGTCGCGCATCGCCTTCCCGTCACAATTGATGACGGCGCAAGTAGGACCGCGTACACCACCAAGCTGCTTGCCCTTTCCGGGGACCGGTCGATCTCCCGACATTGGGTGGTCTGGTGTGGCAGGGATTTGGACAGTGTATAAGTGATCGGATCCCAGTTCGTTGTCTGTGGCACCCTCCATCTCACTCATGTCACGCAAAAGATTGTTAAATCTTCCTCTGGACGTCCTTCTCGCATGGTGATGATTCCTCCCGCACCATTTTGGTTGTCCGAGTTTGTGCGACCTGTCATCTGCACGCCACGAGATTGTCCTGCATTGCAAAACCCAAGTCCACCTGTTGTAGCAGACCTTGGTGAAGCCATGGCTGCACGCCTTCGTATCCCCCTTTATCGTCAAACAATCAAGCTCTTTAGAACCAAACCTCTGAAATTGTGCACCACAAGTTCGATAGATTTTATCTGCTCCAATCCTCATTCCTTACTGCAGACAAATGTGACCGTTTCAGCCATGGACCAAGTTGGTGACATCATTTGTCAATATTTAGTTTCGAATTGCTCAAAGCTAAATTATTTTCAGAGATCGGTACTAGAACTCAATAAGTACGTAACAGGTGATCAATTTTTGGACGAGGACTTTGTCAATCTCTTGCACGTCTTCAGCATTGCTCCTACCTTCCACTAGACGGTATCAGCATCATATGAGAGGGAGTACACGACCACCTTCTTCTCTCTTAGATCTCGAGGCAGCCATTCTCTGGGCCAACACATGAGCTTACTTCCTCCCATGCTATGATATTGGCTCCACGTCATCTTCTACGCTTTGTTCCCATCTCGGATTTGTAGGCCGTGGAAGAAGATGACCGTAAGGACAGGCTTGTTTTTCCACAATTTTTTTCTTTTTAACTTTGGTTGGATACGTTCTCCAAACCGGACAACTGGCCAGCACGACGTGATTAGCAAACCTGGCATCGCGAGGACAGCCGCAGAATTTTCAAAGCTACAAGATAATGCATGTCAAAGTGATACGGGATCACGCCCGGACATGGACTAACTGATAATACCAGAGACACGATATGTTGCCTCCAAACATCTAGCTACCACCTTGCTCACAGATCCCTACTCATATCTCGGGACACAGATCCAATTACGTACACCATTCTACCTTGCATACCCTCGACTGTCATACCGATTGCACAAACTGGACCACGTCGTGCTACCAACATAGCTACATAAGCAGAAAGACCGTCCTTATGCGGTTCCACACAATGCCGATCTCTAGGAAAACGAATACAAAAAATAAAACCACCGCTACGTGTCCATCTCTACCTCAACACTCACCAGAATCACACGTGACTGTCCTTTCACCGACTCACAATCACACGATGCTGCACTCCCCAAATAGTCAATTCCTCGCTAAAAAAATACAGGAAAAAACCAATCTCGATCCTCACAATTTTCGATCCCATAAGGATGCCAGCAATAAGAGGTGCAAGATATTTTGTCACATTCATTGATGATTTTTCAAGAAACGTAAGGATTTTGGTGGGGGAGGAGGGAGACGACCAGAGATGCTGGAGCGAGAAAGGACAACCAAACAAACAGACGACCAGGGGCAATCAATCACACGACAAACAGGCCTTTGCTCGAAATAGCTCAAACTGGGCATTCTTTGGCTAGCTCTTGCTCCATCACCAAACTCTGCTTAGCATGCACAACTTCTCCTCTGGCTCGCAACACAATACTGCTACAATATTGCTACCATTTCAACCTGCTAACTTTGCGACCACATTAGATCTGTTTTGGATCTCTCCCCACAATTGCTAGCACTGCATCTGCAATATCCTTTGCTTGATAAATCCACTCATCTCTCATCTACTCACTCTTCACTTAGCACATTGTTGGACCACGCCACACCATATACACTACAACGCTTCTTTTTGCAGCAATGTGGTCCTTCGAAGCTCGCTTCCAATTTGAGATCCAGATTCCTATTATACTGCTAGCCTAAACAGCAGGCTCTCCTTCCTATCTCGGGCTTCGCCACCCAAGACCGCACCTACTGTCTTGGCCCAATCTCGCACTCTTTTCGATCTAGTGCTCGGTCTGACTTCTGTCCACAGTGGACCCTCTTCCAACAGCCGCGCCTCAAAGTACGACGTGTTGTGCTTGTTTAAAGACTTGCTCATCACCGTCTGCACTGTCTCTCCAGCATCACTATTGTTCAGCCACGTCAGATCCGCATTGGTTGTTGCAATCTATTTTGCCTTCTCGTAAAGTCACAACCTTCGCATCACTACCTCAAGTTCGCCATCGAATGTGGCCATTCACTGGTAAGCGACAGATCCTACTCCGATCACATGTCGGTTGCATGCATGTGGCTTCCTTTCTGTGGACACGATGACAACCTCCGCCGCCCGACACAAAGACCTCGGGTATGGCTCTCTCTCGGTGTAATCTCGCAGCTGCCTCTCACAGAAGCGTCAACCTACCTTTGATTCTTGTCAACTGCCGCTCACCCTGCACTACTGTGTTACCCCCCCCGCAACAGCCTTCTAATATTCCTGATCTGGATCTGGCCCAAAATACCCAGTAAGCTTCTTGCGCCGCGCGGCTTTCTCTAGGATAAGTCCGTTAGTGGCCTTGCCCCAGTTGCATCGATTAACTTTCATCCAATTCCATGGATTGCACGTTGGTCTCATGATGACAATGATTTTTCATCCAAAAATTAGATGACTATTGAAGACTACTGCCCTTGAAACTATGAGCCCTTGCAGTCCACCTAGCATTGTCATGTGACGTGGCAGGCATCGTGTTGACGTGGTATAGTCCACGTGGCATTTCAAAAAATATATATAATTTGGAAATGTTAAAAATGTATAAGATTAGAGGTTAAATTCTAATTTATTGCATACCTTGCATTGTCATCCAACGTGGCATCTTGCAGACATGGCACAGTCCACATGGCATTAAAAAATAAAATTACAATATTTACATTTTAGAAGTTAAATTTTCAATCTAATTGTGATCTATTTGGTGCTGATGTAGCACAATGTAATATAAAATATAACAAATAGAACGAATTGATAAAAATAAGTTTCATATTTCAAACATATATTATCACAATACAATGTTGGGGTTTAAAATTACAATCCTAGTGTACATGTTATGAGATTGAAATTTTAGAGTCTAGGTTGTATGATTAAAAAAATAAGGCATGAGTTGTGATTTTACATTTTTAAACATATGAGAATATGTTTTAGAATAAAAGTGAATGCATGTAAGGTTTTAGAATTGAGGGTTTAGGGTTTAAGATTACAAGAGTGTCCTAGAGGTTTTTGATCCTAAATATCTCTCAATTTATCATAGTTTTTTCCATTCTAAAATTTTGCCAAGGCTTATATTGTTCCAAAGACCTCTATAAATGTTTTTGTTTTTCAAAAATATGTGTTTTATTTTTCGTAATTTAGGGCTTATAAACCCTAATTAGAGTTTAAAGACCCTAATTAGGGATCTGAGTTTCAGATTTGAACAACTTCAACTCACATTTGAGTCTCTCTATGCATACCAATTTTGTAGCTAAGGACGAAATAAATCTCAAACTTACTGTAACTTGCACATCAAGGGATTTGAGATCATTCAACAGTAACATGGAAATTTTGCAACTATCACCTGGCAGTGAGGAGCGAAGTGTCTCCAGCAGAGATGTGGCCAACACTAGAAATACCCCACAAGCTTGGCCACAAATCCCTGCAATCCACCTTTTTTTGCAACACCGATTCTTGCATGCTCTCTACGAACAACTAGATGTGCACAGCTCGATGGTAATCTCCATCTGTATGCACCAAATACCTTGGGACCTGAAAACAAAAAATGCTTGTAAGCATGTGGACAATGGTGGAAAGCTATACTAAATCAGGACACAGGGATCAAGGGAGGAGATCAGGATCACAAACCTCTTCCGTCGACCTTCTCCCCCGTCGTATAAATCACATGCACACCGCACTAATCACATGCAGCTCGAATAAATCCCCCCCAATCCACCCTCACATTCTCAGTTTCGGCTCACACCGTCGTTCACTCTACGAAACCACTCCACGAAATCACTCCCCATCACCTCATTCTGCTATTCACGCCTCCCCTGCAGAATACAAATATCGCAAATACGACCATCATCCATTCAACCACGCCCCCATCACATCGATTTTGCAAGACATGGCGCTACTATCTATATCAGCTGAAACCAACACACACCCGTTTGGGTACGGAACCATTCCATGCCCAAATCTACACCTGCCTCCACATCCCTTCGCCCAGTTGCAATTCCCAATTACAAGAACACATCTATAATTTACTCATTCACACTCTCCCAATGTACTACTGTGCGAATGCTGCCAACCCAACTGGTGGTTCCGTCTAAGTTACAGACTCTCACAGCTCACAGAAAAATAAATCGATTCTATCGCGCCATCCTAGTTTCTGGAGGTGAAGTTGGTGGCATACGCCCATGCGTTGTTGGCCACCGAGCCGACCAAGTGGTCGTTTAAGTTCTCCAATGGCTCCTTTCCAGTTACAATTGCCTGCACGAAGAATCCAAACATCGAGAACATCACCCGTTCTTAATCTCCTTCACCTTCAGCTCCGCCAAGGTGTTGGGGTCGTCAGCCAAATCTAAGGGGTCAAATGACCCTCCCGGATAGATGGGGTATCTTCGAGAAAGATCTTTGTTGCATCTCCATGCTCTTGAAAATCTATCGATCGCAGAATCTAAGAAGGCTCTCTAGACTCCTCGTCTCCTCCAAATCGAAAAAACTTAAGAAAAGACGAAAAAGGTTATGATAGGTTGAAATGACAACGGTAGTCGGAGCCGATTTTGTGACAATGCAGTAGACACAATTTTCTATGCGTGATGATCAAGAAAGTTGTTGTGCAACTTATTGCCAAATGGAGGAACAGAGTTACCACCAGACTACAATTCGGCTCTTGATCTATATGGAATCTTCGATGATGAATGCCTTGCAATTACCTTCAAATGTCTACATCCCAAGTCTCGGCAGGACTGCGGATTGTGGAGTGTCTTACATTGTGCAAGATTCATCTCTATCTCTTATCGATCTAACTACGCTAGTCTGATGAATATTCAGCATACATGCTCTTCCACCAGCGATTGCAATTGTGTCAAACTACAACACTGATTCAACAAAAACAGAGAACAGTTCCAATGTGAAGCTATACAAATCGAAAAACGATTGCTAAGTTCTGGACAAATTCTGCATGATCCAACCTTATTCCAATGGCAACACTGTTGAGTCAACATGTGGCAGCAACAAAACAAGCAAGCTTGGTGGAGATGTGCTTTTGCATCATGTGCGAAGGAATTGACTGGAAAAATTGTTGGTATTCACAGGGTATCGTAATTAATGTGTACGTATACGGAGCTCTTGGTGACATATTTGTGTGTGCATATTGATACATATTTGTTTGTGCATATTGATACATATTTGTATGTATAGTAACTATCGTGTATGTATTAGCATCGGATTTGTATTTATATGTGCTAGATAAACAGAATCATCCAATTCGTGCACGTTTGGGAAGTTGAGAAGTGGATGTTTTTGTCATTGTTCTTCATTTTATTTTCTCCATTTCTAGTTTCACTTCTACTATTTTACTTTCAGTTCATGTTCTTGAACAAGAGAATTCGGATTAAATATAATATGTAAGATTATAATACAATAAACTTAATATAATAAAATAGCTATTCTACAAAAAAATAAAAATACATATGTTCCTAGACTCCACTTCAGCGTCTACTGTCTTAGGAGTAGGGGTCTGATGAGACGTCCCATTGACATATACCCTGTTGATTTCTTTGTCCAAATATTCCACCATCGTATCTAACGTCTAAGTCCCTTCTTACCAACGTTGCCTTCTTATCTCCCTCCAATGCAAAGCATGCAAATTCTATTGTTCAGAATCCATGTGCTAAAATCCCACAATATAATTCAAACACGACTGGATATTTTTCTTCGAATTTGAGATAAAATTCCTATAACAAACTGACCACTACAACTTAGTAGAATATTGTAAGACAGAGCAAAACAAAGAATGTATTGTAGCAGATTTGTATACAAGAAATGATGTGAACTTTGATAGATTTGCAACCACACCGGATTTAGGGTTTAGGGTCTTTAGAATTTAGGATTTAGGATCTTTAGGGTGTAGGGTTTAGGATTACAAGAGAATTCTAGAGGTTTTTGATCCTAAATATCTCTCAATGTATCACAGTTTTTTCCGTTCTAAAATTTTGCCAAGGCTTATACTATCCCAAAGACCTCTATAAACATTTTTGTTTTTCAAAAATATGTGTTTTATTTTTTATAATTTAGGGTTTTTTAACCTTAATTAGGATCTGAAGATCCTAATACAAGATTTGACTTTCATATTTGTTATGATGTGAGAATTGTGTATAGAGTTGAAATGCGTACCAAATTCCACTTAGCCAAAACAAACACCAACAGACGGGTCATTCACTTGGTCTAGGTTTGGCATTGCCCTCGATTTATCTACTCTCCACCTGCTCTACCATCGGCTCTCCGTTGTCGTATTATGTGCTATCTTGCTTGAGAATGCACCGGGCATCTGGCTGTGGAAGATAATACAATGTTTTGCAAGTATCCAAGTAGTCTAGTGGATTTCAACCATTTAAATACAAACTATTTTGGATTTCAATGTAGAAGCATAATTCCAATACAAAGTACTTAGAAATACTATTTTTAATAACTTCAAGCTAGTATAAGCACAAATTCTTTTATTATTTTGTTAGTTTTATTTTTTTTATTAGTATTATTTTTTTTTTAATTTTTAATTTTTAATTTTCAAACCCTAACCCTAGATAGCGAGCTTCAACAAGCTATAATTCTCAATTTGACCATTCGATTGTTGTAAATTTTCTACTACTAGTGTCATTGCAAGTCTTCTAAATGCTTAAGAAGTTTCAATCCAATTCAACTTACAAATTGCAAGAAAACACTATAAATCCACACTAATGTCCATTGACCACCACTTAGAAAGTTGATGACAAACTTTGAATTGCAATTTCTCCTTCTTCAATTGTTAATTCTCATTGAAACTTTGTGTGCAACTCTGCCTTTAAGTCTTTGACTTACTATGCTAAAATTCACCTTATTCCAGCTAGTAGATCTCTAGATATTGCAAAAACCCTAAATAACCCCAATCTGCCAATTTTTGATACTTCTTTGCACTAATGATCAAATATCCTCTATCCGTACCATTAGATTAATACAAAATTTTGCATGCACTTGGCATATTCAACCATCTAGACACCTCTAAAATTTTAAATACAGATGCTTCTCTAATTGCACAAAACAGTCAAGAGTACTAGCCCTAACTTTATTGCAAAAAATCCAAATTACCAATATAAACACTAACTTTGAACAACAATTGCAAAGTCCTTCCAAACCCTATGAAACTAAGTCTTACACCTTTGCATAGAGCTTGAAGCTAGCTCTCCGATCCAAAATCTCAATCTCCAAATGCCCCCATATTTTGCCCTAGGCGGCCGTTTTAATAGCCAGGGGTCTGATTTCGACCTTGTCTTACAAACGGCCGACCCCTGGGTATCAATCTAACCTATCTTATGGGTTGTATAGCCCAACCCTACCCTCAACTTAACTTTAGTATCAACCATACTAGTAATTTACCTTCTCTATCCTATTTTTACCATTTTTGGCCTTTCTAAGGCAGTAAAAGAGTTACTACAGCCTAGAAGGTAAAATTACTAACTAATTCTTATCTATTAGCTATTAAGAGAAGAAAATAAATTAAGAGGCTTTTTATAAAGCCATGTTTAAATGTCTTAAATTATTATTGAATCAAGATGATTAGATAATAATTAAATTTTTTTTTTATTATATTTTTACAATATAGTCGTGTTACAACACGAAACTATCCTCGTTCTCTTCCACCTGCCATTGCTCGTTTTGATCCCACCATTTGGATACCTTCATCGGCATCTCGGGTACGCGCTATGAGCACTGAGGCAACGGCAATGGAGCCGTCATGTACTGTTGCTGCAGCCACTACATAGTCAATGTCAAACGTGCACGTCGAATCTCCATCATCGGCTTTTGAGCACACTCCCTTTGGTAACGTCAGTGCCAATCCCTGTTGCATCTCCGAGTATAGCCTCCAATGCTCTCTCGCGCTTAGTATCGACAACGTTGGTATCAAGTTCAAACGATCCAAATGCCACTAATGTACTGACACCATCGATAATTGTACGTGTGTGCCCAGCCCCCTAGCTTGTACCACTTGCTGTGGACCAGATTTAGGGTTTAGGATTATAAGGGTGTCATATAGGTTTTTGATCCTAAATATCTCTCAATTTATGATAGTTTTGTCGATTTTGAAAATTTGTCAAAGCATATATTGTTCCAAAGACCTATACAATTACTTTTGTTTTTCAAAGTTATATTTTTAATTTATGAGAATTTAGGGTTTAGAAACTCTAATTAAAGTTCTAAATTTCAGCTTTATTAGGATGTGAGATTTGTGTCATGGACATACATTGGAAGATTCTTTGAATATTCTTCTAGAATATTCTCTAAAGATTCTCTAAAGATTCTTAGAATATTCCCTAAAGATTCTCTTAGAAGGTTCTAGAATATTCTTAGAAGGTTCTAGAATATTCTGATAGATTCTAGGAAGTTGCTCGAGAAGTTTCCTAATTAGTAGAAGTTGGAGAAGCGTCCTAGTTAGCGGAAGTAGCTCGAGAAGCTTCCTATTCAATAGTATATATAGGAGTCGAGGTTGAAGGGTTCTTCAGTCTCGACAACACATTTTTTGGAGTTCTAGCTCACCTTTCTGATGTTGTTTTTGTACTCATCTGTTTAATCTAGTTCTGCCACTTCTTCTTGAACTTCTTGTTAGATTTCAAGTCTGTATTTTGTGTCCATGACAGTTTGTCGAGACTACATTTTCACTGGTATCAGAGCTAGTTCCTTCTTGTTAGAGTGTGGATTACCCCTCTTCTTGAAGGTGTGCTAGTGTTTTAGAGGTTGCGGATTACCCTCCTCTAAACTGATATCTCTTCTTTCTCAATATTGGAGCCTTATTCTTCTTGGAAAGAGTGGATTACCCCTCATCTTGGAGTCTTAAGGCGTTTTAGAGGTTGCGGAGTACTCTCCTCTGAACCAATATTGTCCTCTTGTCAAAACTCTTTTTTCTTCTTTCTGAAGGTTAGTCGAAGGTTAAGACGTTAAAATGGCTGAAAGTTTGGAATCCAAACTAGACGCCATCATAAATGCTCTTGCCTCGTTGTCACATAGGACAACAGAGATCGAAGGAGTCATGGTAGGACTCCATAACAATGGAGCATATGGGATAGCGCCATCTAAAGTATATCAGCCTCAAACTTCTGTGCCAGAAGAAGTAGTTCTACCTCCATTTCAACAAGATCGAGTAGTCCTACAACGAAAGGAGCCTCGAGTTAGTCTTTCGGATAAGTTTGATGGAACTCATTCCAAGTTTCGAGGTTTTGTCAACCAAATCAGGTTGATAACAATTTTACAGCCCGAACGTTATCCGACGGAGGAAGCGCGTGTTGGGCTTGTTGGAACCTTGCTTACAGCACAAGCTCTGTCTTGGTTTACTCCCTTGTTTGAGAAGCGATCGCCAATCCTGAGCAACTTTGAAACGTTCTTGGAGGCGTTTGCAGAAGCATTTGGCGAGCATGATAAAGTTCGATGGGCTACAACAAAGATCCGATCGCTACGACAAGGAACACGCTCTACATCAGTCTATGCCTCGGATTTCAGACAA